ACAAGTTTCACTTTTTAAATGGAATTACTGAAATCAATCTACTTTTTCATGATATTCTAATTTTATGACCAGCACCTGTAAGGTTTTAAGTGATCTACATTAATTTTTAGCTTTGCTTCTCCGATATGAGCTCCACACTCTTGCCCTCAATTTTAGTGATCATGAGGGGACCCAACATGTCTGCCTTCATTTTCCCACCCTCCCTTTGCTCCTGCCTGATGTTCTTTAGAAGAACTTTGTCACCCACTTTAAAGTTTTCCTCCTCACCCCGTTGCCTTTTCCTCTGCCTAACCTTTTCATGATTCTTGATCCCGGTAGGATCCTTCGTGCTCAGAAAGGCCTCGGCTCACAACCTCCTGTGAAATTAGCCTCTCAATCTTCTGATCAGTGATCTGTAAGCAAGTATAGAAAATGTGTTGTGACATAGTATTGGCCCCAACAGGGAAGATGTGTGCACACCTTACCTCATATTGTGGTGGTATCTGTGATGGATACCTGGCCTCCCTGGCAATCATTGAATAATATGGGGAATGTTTGGTTGTGAAATGACGTTTGGTCTGCAGGGCAAACATTGTTAGTTGCAGCACCTCGTCCCATCTATGTGGATGGTCTGCAACCAATTTAAGGACCTGGGGGGTTAGAATTCCATTAGTCACAGTTTTGGTAAGGCTCCACATTACCAAGATGTTGGTCGATAGGTTTGAACAACAACCTTTGAATTGTCAGGTTCTCCACTAGACCATTGGTTTGTAGGTGGTATGGCGAGCTAAAACATATTTTTATATTGAATTTCTCACACAAACCATAGTTAACCTAAGAGAATGAGAAGTCAGCACTACTGTGTTGACTTATTGTGAAATTATTTCTCAGTACTTACCTTTTTGAGAAACTCTGTACCCTGGTCTGTAAGCAGCCTTTGAGGTGCACCAAATTTGTATAAAAAAAAAAAACAAAAACCCACAAGTATACAACTGGTGACCTCAGCTGCTGATTTTGTTTTTTAGTGGGTAGGCCTCTGCCTATGGTGAAAAAAAATCAATGATTAACAAATGTACTGATTAACACCATTTGTTACTGTGAGTTTACCCACTAGATCCATGCCCACCAGTTCCAGTGGCTCGGTCACCTGTTTAGGAGATAAATTCATAAATTCTTCACTTTAAGGACACACATTTCACATCTGCCTCAGTTCTAATTCTTCCCACCTCTATGGGGCGGTATTCCGACTTTTCCGTTATGGTTGCCCTTTTCTTCTGGCACTGAGCAGCCTGAATAAAATTGATAAAGTGGACACAGAACTAAAACAAGACCTCAATGAATAGAATGAAACACATAGCCAAATACTCACCCATTGTTGGATGTCCTTTTCCATACCAGGCTGGCGACGGCACAATGGGTTCTTTCCCACCCACAGTGTCCAACTAATTCGCTGGCATGAAATTCAGGGGTTGACGTTAAGGATTTTTCAAATTTCATTTGCCCAGAAACAATTTTTACTTGCCCAGTAGAATGTTTGATAAATACAGTTCCTAATATTTATTTTTGCATATATATCAATGAAACATGTTTGTTTTTTTTAAATGTTTTTTGTAATTCAGTATTTTTAAGTTTCCAGGTTCCTGGTGTGTATCTGCATGCGTCAGATAATGAACTCAAGCCTACATTACCGTGTTAACATGCTTTTCAATCCTTCCTGCACATTCTTTTCAAACTAAACTTTGCTTTAAAGTGTTGTGTGCTTGGAAAAATATAAATTGTTATGTTAAAAATAAAACTTGACAGGTTAAAAACAAGGCAGAACCCAATGTCACAAATTATTAACTTTTATTTTAGAGTCACGGTATGTTTCTACAAGATAATACTATTAATATAATGTGACTTTTCTAGAGAATCATTATACATAGTTATTTTATTCAGGGTTTCCACAGTCTGACATCATTTCAGAATTCTTTGACTTTTAACTGACTCAGGATTAGTTTTCCCTGACAAAATAAACGCATCAACAAGACAATAATAACATAACAGGTC